TACTCGGATACCACTTAATATAACACCCCCTTCTATACCCCCAAATAAACAATAATATATATATATATATATATATATATATATATATATATATATATATATATATATATATATATATATATATATATATATATATATATATATATATATATATATATATATATATATATATATATATATATATATATATATATATATATATATATATATATATATATATATATATATATATATATATATATATATATATATATATATATATATATATATATATATATATATATATATATATATATATATATATATATATATATATATATATATATATATATATATATATATATATATATATATATATATATATATATATATATATATATATATATATATATATATATATATATATATATATAGACACATATAAATTTTATCAGCGTATAATTTAAAATAAGGTATAAAAGAAGTATGTCACATTATTACCAATAAAACACTCAACACCTGCTCTATAGAAATATGCAACAGTGGGATAGTTTTCAAAGTAGAGGAACTTAGTCCTTAAACCCACATCTCGATATTTAGAATTAAAGCGGAAGATAAAACATTTGAATTACCTTAAAACATTTAATCACATAAATACATGTTATCCAGTTGGTTCATCAATATCATTCATGTTACAAACATCATCAACTGATACATCACAAGTGTATCACAAAAGAATGCTATACAAGCCTAACTACCCGGTGTTACATTATCAGAGCAGTCCGACTCAAAAGAATGAAGTTATACTTCACAAAAGAAACCTCCAGCAACCTAATCTGCAATGCCTCATAGAGCATTATAAAACAACAGAAGGGTGAGAAATATTACCATAATAATCAATGCATAAGATTATATATATCTACAAGTAACAATTACATATAATCCACATTTCTCACCACAATTCATTTTCATAGTCATATACATCTCATCATACATATGAACAAATATGGATATTCATCTAGCATATATCATCATGCACAATTCACAATTATCCAATATACATTCACTCACAAGCATATTTCATATATCAATGACATTTATGCTATGTGACTCCAAAACAACTCAATGCAACTCAATGCAATGTGGTACCAACACTTGTTATCATTTTTCGATTTTTACACTTAAACCGGGTCCACCCTTCTAGACCGGTAACAACAAAGCCCGTCCCCTAGGCTTCAAACCCACCCTTCTAGGTTTGGGACAAACCACTAGTCTCCACGAAACTAGCAAACATTGCCTCTTGACTAAATGATGCATATGCAATCAACCAACAAAAATGCACTTAAGACCCGCATCTTAATCCCATGCATTCAAATAATTCATCCCTTCAAGAATTACAATATGATTGCACACACAACATATTCATAACAATTCAAGGCATTCATATTCAATACCATCATCACATTCATCAAAACAATGCACACATATCCACGATATGTTCCCATGCATTACATACATTAGCATACAACAATATGCATTCACATACTTATTAGACAATACACACATATTCACTAATGTGTTCTCATGTATACTTATCACATAATTATACACAACATCATCAATGTATTCATAATTCAATACTATCACTACATTAGCGCACAATGCACACATACTCATAATATATTCTCATGCATTATTATTCGATTTAAACAATGCATTCCGTTATCAATTACATTTTATAATCTAGGATTCACGCCTTACGGCTACCCACAACATATCTCTTTTCAATAGTACACATACTATTCGATTCATATGCGTATTAACCTATTCGAACCAAGCAACCACTCATCGGATGAAAATCACAGAACAGAAACAACTATGTCTGATTCGCCACCATTCGCCTGGCAAAGCCTCGTAGCGAATGCTCGCTGGACCTTCGCCCGACGAACTCCCTAGCAAGCAAAGTCAGTGGCTACTGAATTGGTTCGCTGCCCTTTGCTGAAGGATTCGCCTGGCGAACCTTCGCTACCTATCCTTCGCCTGGCGAACTTGCCAGCGAAGACCACTGGGATTAATTATGAATTATTCACTAGCATTCGCTGAGCTTTGCCTTCATTCACCTGGCGAGAACCAGCGAATCTGCGAAGACAGAACCCTCAATCTGTCCCCAACTTCCAATCCACCAATAATCGACCGATTCTTCACTAAATCAGTACCAACAACTTAACCACACATCACCCGACTATTCTACGGCATTATTTCCAGTTTCTAACCGATTAAACTACGATTCTACCGATTAAATCACTTTTGCCCTAAATGGGAAAATGGTGGAAACTCACAATAAACCAAACCGACACATACATAACCACATAGATTGACTAGATAATAATGTTTCTCACCCTTACCTTGATTTGAATAGAAGCTTGGTGTTGATTCTTGATGATTTCTCCAAGTTTCCCTCTTCTCTTCTCTTTTCTCCTCTTTCTTTATTCTTTCTCTTCTAATTCCTTTATCTTACTATCTTTTCTTTTCTCTTCCACTTTCCTTATATACTTCCTTATTTTCTTTCCTTCCCATTTCTCTTCTCACAATTTCTCTACCAAATAAATCCAATAATTAAAATAAGTCAATTAATTAAATTAATTAACATTAATAATTAATTAATGAAATTTGGGCTGTTATATGGGTGACATCATCCCACAAGGAAGGTGAAAGGTATAGTGGGTACTATCCCAGAAATATAAAGAAGAGGCCAGCAGAATGGGGCATTAGGTGGGACCTGTCTTCGACATCATGATCAAGTCGTAAATCCCAGTTGTCTTCCAAGCTTCTGCCTTGACCTTCTCTACTTTGGTCAACCAGTTCAAATAAAGGTCAAAATCTTTGAAATAGGGAGTTTCTCTAAACAGCCTGGATCCATCATTCAGATACTTTAGGTCTACATTGTGTAAAGCTATACTATCAGGACCTTCAGTGGCTACTTTTGTTTGATCTTTCTACCCTAAGGGTTTAGTCTGGCGATAGGAGGGAAATAAGTCACTAAGGGTTAAATAATTTGTTCCTAAGGGAGATATAGGACCAGCTAAAACTAAGGGTTTACCTGAAACAGTCACGGGAATCATTACCTGTGATTCGTAGATGCGCCTCTTCTCTTCTATGAAAGGTTCAGGAATGAACTGTTGGTTTTTCACCACTTTGGGCCCGCTTAGTGTAGCAAAGGGAGGAAGCAAAGACACACTCTTTTTCCCCTTAAGCTTTGTGTTTTTCTTCTGATCTTAAGCAACAGCAGTGGAGGATGCCATTATTAAGGGTTTAGTAAAAAATGAGTTTACTGAAGAAAAGTTGGGAGTGTTTGGAAGAAATGCGTAGTGATAGCTTGGAGTTGGAAAAAGTGGAAATTATTTCTGAGGAGATTATTTATAAGACGTCTAGAAGTAACCAAATGTCACTATTCATCATTGAGGGCTAAAAGGTAGTGGTACATATGGTGTTCTAGGAGCAAAAGTGGGGGCGGTGGCAGTTATTACCTATACCCACGATTTCATAGGTCCTAGGAGAGATGATGATGGTCTGGAATTTGGTGGGATTTCCAAGAAATTGTTTTCATAATTGGCCATGACGTCATGGATGTGCTTGAAAAGTAACTGAACTGTTTCTTTTAAGTCATGCGTGGTCAGTTACATTGACACCTACGTGGGGGTCGAAAGGTGGTGTCGAATAAGACACTATCAAAAAATAGCCTTTTTTTCTTCAGCATTGTCGAAAAAGATAATTTTTGGGGGGCAATTTGTTAGCTTACAAATTCGACGCCCACATTAAAATAGTGTGTTTGGTTGAAATGTTGACTTCTTTAGGTAATGAGGAAAAGCCTTCGAGTGGGTCTTTGCCATAAATGAAATCGAAGGCATTAACACAAGAAAGGAAGACTTTTGGGACTTAGAAAATATTTCTAAAATTTAGAGAAGTCGCCTTCGACTGAGACGCTGGCTAAATACTAGTAAAATTTGAAATTCAAATAAATGAGGGAGTAGTTATGCTTTCTCATTTCTGAACGAGACAAGTGGCACACATCTAAGAGGCAACTGCATGCAGCATGACATTTGTCAGGGGCTGATTGTTTTGAGCAGTTAACAACAGTTAATTTTACTATTATTAATAGGGGATCTAGTAATAGGATTCGGGGTATTGTGTTTACTATTGTACAAGTCACTCCAAATTTACTCAAAGTATTAGTGTGTAGAGAAAAGAGTTTTGGGAGAATGTACATAATGTAAAAACACCATTTTATGCTTTAATGAAATTTACTTTCACTTTGTATTAAAAGAGTTCATCCTTTATTTTCTAGAAATTTGCATCTTTAGCATTACACTTTGTATCTTTTAAGCCTTTTTTCAACAAAGTTGTTTACCTTTTCTTTCACTTTAACGTTATTACATTCCCATCGAACCACACATTTAAATTGACTTTTATTCATAAACATTGTCGAAGTGTTTAGCCTTTAGTATTTTTTGTAGTTTAAAATTTAGCACATCTCCTAGGATCAATTTGGTCGATCATGTGAGTCACCAAAGTTAGATTTGGAAGATCAGCGGTTGTTTTCCAATTCTCACGCGAAACACTGGTGGTGGTTAGCTTGATGTAACAACAACTGGTATTGGTTGGCTTGATGTAACAACAACTGGTGTTGGTTGGCTTGATGTAGCAGTAATAGTTGGTGGTTGGCTTGATGTAGCAGCAGTTGGTGGTGGTTGGCTTGATGTAGCAGCAGTAGTTGGTGGTTAGCTTGATGTAGTAGCAGTAGTTATAGGCAGCTTGCAAGTGGCCTTGTTGTGACCATCCTTATGGTACCTACTACACTTAATGTCGAATTTGGCCCTTTGTGTTATGTCTCATTTCTAACCTGTTCCCCAACCTCTTTGTTCCTTTTCTTCTTTGGTCTACTAGGTTTCCTTTTTGTGGGGGTGGTTGCAGGTCAACAACATCTATTTTGGTCCAAAGAAATTCTCCATTGACTGGATAAATCATTGGTACATAACAAGCCTCATAACACTGCTTTTTGTAATAATCAGAGACAAATCATCTACTTTTAAATGTTGATCCTTCATATATGAAAGGGCACGACAACACGGTATCCCAATCAGCACCCACCTTCTACATGAACACTCATGCTTTGATAGATTAACAACAAACTTTTCTTCTATGAGTGATATATGACTAACCTTATAGTCTACTTCACCGGCACGCCTGTTACAAATATAGAAATCAATTATGGATGCATCCATCTTCTTTGTATTACCTAGAAATCAAGTATGAGACATTACCTAACAATCCAACTGTTAGTTCTTTGCAATTCTTTTTCCAACTTCTTTTTGATATTTAATATAATGGCATCAGCATATTTGGAAATATTTTGTCTGTTAAGCTCCCACCTTTGCATCAGGTACACTATAATCTCTTCAAGCATAGTCACAATGGGCTTGGCTCTTGCAGATACAAATACAGAGTTAAAGGCTTTTGACATGTTGTTCACCAAAGTGCCACACTTTAGACCATTTCTAAACCTATATTTGCTCTAGAACCTTGGTGGGATCTTCCAAAGGTGCTTTAATGCTTCTTCATTAACCTCTTTCACTTCACGCATAATTTTTTCCCAAGAATTTGAATGACTTGCATTAGCAGCCTTCCACATCAATTCCTTTAATTTGACATCGGGAAACTTCTTCCTAAAAATGCTATATAAGTGCCTGCCAATAACACATGTCAAACATCCACATCAGAAACTAACAAGGATAAAAGGGTATCAAATATGAGTTAGCAATAATGTTTACCTAACACAAAACCTTTGGTCAACTTCTGGTAGCAACTCATCAAGTGCAGGTAAACACCTCTGTATTTTAGTCATACCAAATCAGATTTAAAGATATCAAAAATAAAATCTATCAAAAACAAAATTAGTTATAAAGATATTAGTACACACCTTTTGTTCATCACTTATAAAGGTATATATCTTACATAATCCCACACCTCCTAAATCATGTATCAATAGATCTAAAAACCAACTTCGTGAATATTTAGTTTCTCCCTCAACTACAACAAATGTTATTAGGACCTACATTGTTTTTACCATTGGGACCTACACCATTATTGACACCATTAGGACCATTATTCAATTATAAAGGTATATGTCTTGCATAATCTCACACCTCCCAAATCATGTATCAATAGATCCAAAAACTAACTCCATGAATCTTTCCTTTTACACCATTATTCAATCTTCCAAACTGTCGTCTTCTACACCATTGGGACCTACATTGTTTTCGAGAGGCAATGTTTTCTCTTCCCCATACACTGGATGCATTATATGTAGATGAACATTCTCATTGATTAGTGCAATCGTCTTCATTCTATTTGTTCACGTGTCATCTTGCAACATCACTAGCTCATTATCATCCATTTCATCATAATACCACAAGCTCTCAACTTTTGGGTACCATAAATCTTTCAAAGCACCTAGGATCTCAAAATAATCCAAAAATATGGGCCAACTTGCCAAATCTCCTCTAAACCATTGTAACATAATCGGTTAAACTCACCAAACACACCCCCATGATAGATAACACACTCAAACTTACCACTCATGACCTAATCACATCAAATAACTCAGAAATCAAAATTCAAAGTAGACGAAATTGTTAAATGTTGGCCTTGAAATGAGACAATAGTTGAGTTGCTAGGTGTCGCAGTGAGAATCGGATATCAAGCTATTGAGTTAACTTGAATCATAAATCATGAAGTTCACCACCGAGCTTTGATTTATCCAAAGGAAAGGGTAAAGATCACAGAAAACCCTAAGTGACCTACGTAACAACACAACTAAGAGATCTAAGGTTCGGGGGTTGGTTATACCTAGGGAAGGTGTTAGCATCCTAAGTATCTGTAGTACTCTACAGGAACCTCTTGTTAGTATTTGTGTTATGCTAAAGGTTTGCTTGCTAAGGGAAATGGGCTAAGGTAAAGACCTAGGGATTTATTTCTAAGTATGCTCACAAAGACGTCGCATCTCGTGCCTACGTATCCTAACTAGGATGGAATCAGAGCAATCGTAGTTCACCTAACTAGGGATGAGGAACTCTTGATAACGATCAAGGTTCCAAAGGGGAAGTAAGTCTTCATAACTATGATACTTACATAGAGTTAACCAACTCTCTAAGTCTAAGTTGAAAACTAACTAAAGTTGACTTTAACAAAAGTCAAAGGGGAAAATGAGCATTCATAACAATGATACTCACATAGAGTTTACAAACTCTACACCTAATTTTAAGTTAAAAACAATTGGCAAGACTCTCACAAGGTCTCGGAGAAAAGATGGACAATGCTATCCAACATGACTTACAAGTCAACACATGGGATTCTTTTCCTTTGGAATGGAATAGGAAACTTTAAAGAGAAAAGACCTCAAGTGACAAGGTTAAGTTTGTGTACAAAGCAAGCAAAAGGGAAAACATTAACCCAATTAAATATAAATATTTAGCAAGGTTAGTCAAAAATCAAAATTAACTAAGATCTTTACAATGATTAGCAATTAAACACCGATCTTTTTAAGCAAAAGCAATTGATTAAAAGAAACTATTTTTGGATTTTTATAACATAAAAGCTAATTAAATCTAAATAAATAACTAACAGTCCTAAAAAAAGGTTAAATCTTAAATAATACAAAAATTAAAATGAATTTCAAACATTAATAAAACAACAACAACATAAAAATCAAGGAATGTCTAATGAAGGTGGGTGACGTGTGGTTATGGGGTGTGAAAAGTGGAACTGATCCATGGGCCTAGCCCATTATTCAAATAATGAAACCAAAGAAATTAATCAAGACGAAGACTTGAAAATCAACATTGGAGAGAAATAAAAATACAAAATTAAGCATATTCAAGCCCAAATGGGGGCTCCACCTGGAAAGTGGGTCAAAGTTGACCCGAATCAGCTTGCAATACCAAAGGGGTCACGAGAAACCCTATACCTTTGCAGTATGCATTTAGAAAATAAACCTGAATGAGAGCTACAATTGGGAAACAAAATCATATGAGCAAAACACGGAAACTTCGAACACTTCCTATCGAAACCTCTTGATCTCAACGCTCTTATCTATCCGCCTTCCTCTACTCTGTTCGTTTCCGCGGCGCTTCGTTCTCGTCTTCCTTCTTTTTAAGGAAGATTTGTGACGAAATCAAGTTTGTTGTGGTTGTTCTCCGATGGCGCTGGGAGCTTGGTTTGTTGAGTGGTGTTTGTTCATATTCGAAGGGAGTGATTCAACATATAAGGATAAGTTTTTGTGTGTGAGGTTATGGCGGATATGAGTTGTTGATGTTGTTGTAATCTGTTCGAAGGTAGTGTGTTGGTTTCAATGGTGGAGGATGCAAGGCGTGGTGGCTTTGTGTATTTGTTAAGATGGGTGCACAGTGGTGTTGACGGTGAGGTTAATAAGTTGGAAGGCGTGTAGAACCGGTGATGATGAGAAGATGGAAAGGGTCAATAAATTATGCGGAAAACCATGGCAAAGAGGTTTACAGATTTTTTTGATGGAGCGTATTGTTGTCCATTTGAACTTTTTGTGAAAGGTATTCTTCTCCCCCTGTTTTTGATAAGCTCCTCCTCCTTTTAACTGAGATAGAAACTCAATCCCCTCTCCTTTCTTCTGTTGTTCTATCATGTTATATCCTTTTCAGCATAGTAGGAGTTTTCCTTGGCAAGCTGGTTGAAACCGGTTTTTGTGGCAGAGCATTGATGCAGGATCCTAATACAAATGTGTAGAACTCTGTTTGTATGTATTGGCTATTGTTATCTTGTTATCGTTTATTGCACAAGTTGGTAGCAAGCTGTCATAACATTCCATTCTCGTGAAAGTGGAGCGGTTTATGTCGTTTTCTTGGTCAAGGTTTGCAAGATGTCTTGGGAGTAATGTGTAATGTAGCAGTAGGTTACGGCAGTTGGTGTTTTGCGCTTGTAAGAGCTTATCACAAATTTGGTTATGCAGGGTAGCTCGTACGATTCGTATCATGGAAAGCGGCCTTGTTGTTGTCCTGGATGTGTAGCATACTGACATAACATGATCCTTGACTTTCCCCCTTTTTTTGTTTATGAGGTTTGTGTATGACTTGGAGATGGGCCATCCGCAAATGGGGCCTTTCATTTATTTGTATCATGTTTTTGTTTTCTCTTCTTTTTTTTTTGGAATTGTTTTTGTATAATGGGCTTCTATTGTTGGAATTTAATGATAGTATTTTTGGAATAACTTGTGGTTTTTTTTATGATAAATAAATTTAAAGGATAAAATGAGGAAATGTAACTATGGATATAAAAAATTAAATAAAATAAAATCAATAGAGAAAAATATAATTATTAAGGTGGATACAAAGTGGGTTGTAAATGGATGTGGATATATGAAAATAAAATGGTTTAGAATTGGACTAGAAAAAATGGGTAAGTGGAAAATTGGATAAGATTTGGAATGAAAAGGTGGTTATGAAAATGGATATGGAAATGAAGTATTTTCACATTATCTTTGACTGTCGCACCTCCTGAACAACAACATAAGCTCAAACCTAGCTTGATTGGACAACATCCTGACGAATCCTCAAACCGATATTGAAAATCTTAACCACCAAATCAACATTTGCACACATGTTGAACCTGATAGCCTCAAGAGACCATAACTAAATTCAATTGTAGATCATAAACAACAAAGATAAGGAACCCTAATCCTCCAAAATCCTGATCCTTAGTCTTTCTAGTCAAACCATTGATGAACCTCAAACAAAACTACCTTGTGGCCATTCAGAGAACTGATGTCATGCCTTGATAAACCTCATATAGGCATTGCTCATGACAATTGAAAACTCCACACTTTTACCTCAGACTTGAGTACAAAAAGTGAAAGAAACAGTTTCTGACCAAAGGAAATCCACCTTATTAGGAAACCTCCTGACCAAACCTAATTCAAACACCTTTGAAGTCTTCTGAAGCAAACCCTGATTTCACAGGTGAAACAAAGCAAAACAAAGCTGAAAAACTGGTTAGTTATCCAATATGATTGACCTAAATGATATGAGAAAGATCAAAGAATCTAAGGGTAAATTTTGGGGTATGATAGTTGCCCCTATTTAAATATCCTCACCGAATGACATGAGTGATGAAAATCCTCATGAAATCATGGTGGAAGATATTTAAATACAGATAACCAAAAATTTTGCCATTAGATGCAAGGATCATGCTATGCTATGGACAAAAGGAAACTATGCAGTGCTGATATGCCATAAAATCTAACACGATGAAAATGATAAGATGCTAAATGCAAAGAATGCAGACGACGACGAAAGAAAACAGAGAACGAAGCAACACAATGAGTAACTACTCACTGGGGAAAGACAATAACACTGGGGAAGCTTAAACAAGACTAGGAAAATCTAAAGTGATCGAGCAATTACTTCAAACGTGACCAGCAGACACTTTAGAAGGAAG